GGGCCAACTGGGCCAAGAGGCCCAGGGAGGGTTCTTCTCCATTATTTTTGTTTGCTTTCCTTTTATATTTTGTTTATTTTCTTTTACTATTTTCTTTTATTTCTTTGGACTAATTTTGTTTTATTACCACAAAGTGAATTCCTAATTTAGTGTCCCATGATCATCAACTACCACAAAAGGTTTTCTTTTTAAACAAATGGATTAGTATTTTGTAAAATATCAAAAGCAATTATTTAATTGTTTGAACTACTGTTTTAACCAATTTAGAGTATTTAAGAATTTTATAAAAGTGTGATTTCTCCATCATAATTACCTATGCATTATTTGGCACAACTGAAACATTTTAGTTTAATATTTGAAAAACTTTACCGTTTGACTTGATTTTGAATTTGAATTTGAATCGGTTTTGAATCAACGTGAGTTTATCAATAGTAATCGAGGTGACGTGGCATCATTAGCAGGGGATCACTGTCGCTTGAATACCCGAACGTCACAACCACGACGCTATGTGCTGCAACCGAAAGCCGCCAACGCTGAAGACGACGACATCACGATGTTGGGGTGCTGCAACCGGGGCACGACAGATGCTGGGAACCGATGATGCCGTGAGCTATGACAGGTAGACAATGATGCTGCGACAGGGTTGTGCGGCGTGCGAGAATGCTGGGACCGGCGACCGCAAATGCGGTGACTGGCGACACCGCGAGCTGCAATGCGGTAGGCGGTGGTGCTGGGACAGGGCGCGACATGTTGAGATTGCTCGGACCGCCCATGAAGGTTGAAAGGATCGTCGGGTGGATGGAACCGATGGTGGTGGATGCTACAACCAGTCATGGACCGACGCTAGGCCAATCGATGAGTGCAAAGTAGCGCCCAAAAAATATAAAAGGCAGCACAGAGCTATAATGCCCTATATTTCAAATAGTGTCAAAATAGGATTTTGTTCAAAAAATTCCGAGAAAAAACTAACATGTTCATATGGATGTATAGCACACATGTGCAAATTCTGATGATGAAATAAATAATCATGTGAGTTACACAAAAACGATAAAAGCGTGATTTAAAAAAGATTGGACAATGCGACATGTTTACTTATTTCATCATCAAACTTTATACATTTGTAATATACAGCCATATAATCATGTAGAATTATTTTCTGAATTTTTTAAAACTTTAGAGCAATTCCAAAGGGCCGACCCATTTCGTTCGCTTGCGTCCGTTTGGATCGGGGCGGACAAAAGTGGCGACCCAACGCGCCGACCCAAACTTAAATCACGTCCGCGTCGCGTTCGCGCCGACGCATTTGCGGCCCAAATTTGCACCCCAAATGCGTCGGCGCGGACGCCGAACGGACGCTTCGCGCGCCTTCTTGCTATTCGCCGCGTCCCCACATGGCAGCCGTCCAACTACCCGCTGCCCACGCGGTCAGCTTAATTTGTGACGACGGGCCCACGTGGTCAGCGACGGCGCTCATCCTTTTTTAAGCCGACCGTGCGGCGGAGCCGTCCTCATCTGCCCACCTTGCTCGCTCGTCGCCGGCAAACCCTAGCCACTACAACCACAGCGACGATGGGCCTCTTCTCCGGCGTCAGCGGCAGCAAGGACAAGGGCAAATCCCCCGCCACCCCTTTTCTCTCCGACTTCCTCCCACCCCCGCCGGCGCCTCGCCGGCAGAGGCAGCACGTCAGCGTGCCCGTGTACTAGGCGGAGTGGCACTGGAAGAACCGCCAGTCTCTGCCCTATCCGGACGTGACGCTGCCGCACGACTGGCATCTGGATCCAGATAGGAACCCAGTGCCGGCGGCGCCGCGGTCGGCTCGTGCTCACGCGGAGGAGGTGCGGCGCCGGCGGGCGCTGCTGACGCCGGAGCAGCGCCTCGACAATGCCTACGCAACCGACTCGCCCAACTGGGCGAGGTGGTTCGCCTTCGAGCATGAGGAGGCGAGGCGACGGGGCGTGCGCGAGGTCGACCAGAGGCCAATGCTGCTGGTCGTCCGCGAGGAGGACCAGGCGGCCCTTGCGGCCGTCTACCGGGAGAGCGAGGAGGACAAGCGGCGCAGAGCAGAGGCGGCGGAGGCGGAAGAGGAGGCCCACTACGAGGCGACAATGGCGCAGGCCCTTGCCCTCTCCGCGGCGGGCGACAACGTGGTGCCGCCGTTGGCCCTGCCGTCCCCCATCAAGCCGGAGCCGCTGCCGGAGCCCGAGCCCGAGCCCATCGCACGCTTCTCCTGAAATGGAGTGGTGCGCGCGTGGGTGTCCGCGCCACCGGTTTGGCTGGGGGCGACGCCGGCGCAGGAGCAGGCCTACCTCGAGATGTGGCGCCAGCGCCGGCTGGCAGAGGAGCACCG